ATAAACAAGGCAATTTCAAAGTACTTTGTTAAATATATACCCCCAAAAAAAACTGTCACAGAATTTCATATGCAACTCTCATTTTTGTTCTTTTCTGTTGAAATGTTTGTTGACAATTAAGTTCATAGTAAAAGAGAACATTTAATTGAAAAAAGAACTTTCAGCTTTTACTTAAACCACCTCAAAAACACTTCTGCCAGCCCTACTTCCATCCAGTCTAAAATTCTGGCTTTAATTGGCAAGCTTCATCTTGTAAAAATGTAAAAAGGTTACACAAGGACTAGGATCGCATACAAGCTACTAAGAGTTGCCCTCCTTTGCTGAACCCCATCGTGGCAACAGCTACATCTCACTTTGAATCAGGATGGCCTCCAAGTGGCTAGAAACCCCACTTTAAATTGCTGATAATTCCCCATTTGGAGGTCTTCCACCTTCCTTCATTGGAACTGATCCATACAGTATGAGCTCTCCCAATTTTTCTGTCCTAAAGACCAGCTGCATTAGGTCTGTCACCAAAGAACACCGGTAATAACACCCGAAGGAAGACTCTCCCAGAATACCTGTAGCATAGAGCTGCAAATGTACCCTTCCTTCCACATGAACCAAATGCTTATTTCAGTCCACACCTCTTTGCCCTGTTAAAATCATTTTGCCCAAAGGTAACAGAGTTAGGGGCTAGTCTTACACTAATAGTCTTCTTAAATACCTCAGCTCTAGAATGTCACCTCTAGAATGACTCTGGAAAATACCCTGGAGGCCCAAAGTGAAGTGAGGAAATACAACGGTTCCTTTCATTTTCAAGACCTCACAAGGTTACCTTCACGACAATGACCTGTGCCATCTGGTGGCACAAATCAGAGAAATATGAGTTCACTCCCCTTCAAGGACTGCCATTTCCAAATTCTACATGATGTTCTTTGTTCTAAAAGTCTATGATAGGGACAGCTAGGTAGCACAGGAGATAGAGCACTGGCCCTGGAGTCAGGAGGACCTAAGTTCAAATCCAGCCTCAGACACTTGATGCTTACTAGCTGTCTACTAGACCCTGGGCAAGTCACTTAACCCCATTGTCTAGACTAAAAAAAGAAAAAAAAAGAAAAGTCTATGATAATAGGCACTTACGGAATAATCAGATGATTGGGATCTCCTAACCAAAGTCCTTCCTTCTTCCTGGCCACAGTTCTTCTTCTTGGCCACATTTACTTCCCATCCTTTTCTACCCATTCTTAGTCCTGTCTTCTTTAGTGAACTACTCTCAGGATGGTAGGGGTCATAGATCATAGGACATGTAAGCCAAAAGAGATCTCAGAAATCATCTACTCTAACTCCTTCAATTTACAGATAAGAAAACAGAGGCCTAGGCAAAATAAATTACTTTCCCAAGGACGTATTTGTACAAAAATATTTATAACTGCCCTTTTCGTTGTGGGAAAGAATTGAAAATTGAGGGAATGCCCATCAATTGGGGAACGGCTGAACAAATTATGGTATAAGATTGTGATAGAATACTAATGTGTTATAAGAAATAACAAGGGGGTTAGATTCAGAAAAACCTGGGAAAACTAATATGAACTGATGCAAAATGAAGTGAGCAGAACCAGGAGAACATTGTACATAGTAACAGCAATGTCATAAGGATGATCAACTGTGAAAGACTTAGCTACTCTGACCAAGACAATGATCTAAGACAATTTCAAAGAGCCCATGATGAAAAATGTTATCCACATCCAGAGAGAGAACTGATGAACACTGAGTGCAGATTGAAGCATACTTTTTACTTTCTTTATTTTTCTTTTGTTTGTGTATGTATGTGTTTTCTTTTGCAATATGGCTAATATGGCTTTGCATGACTTCACATATATAATTGATATCATGTTGCTTCACTTTGGAATGGGTGGGGGAGGGGCGGGAGGGAGGGAGAGAATTTGGAACTCAAAAATGTTTAAATGAATGTTAAAAAAGTATGCATAATTGGGAAGTATTTAATGAAATATATTTTTTTAAAATTTAATTACATTTCCAAGGCCACAAGGCAATAAGTAACAGAACCAGCATTCAAGCACAGTTCCACTGATCCCAAATGTAATGCTGTTTTTGTTTAAGTTGATCATCTAGTGCAATACCGTCATTTTTACACATGAGGAAACTGAGTCTTAGAGAGGGGAAAGGCTTTAATAAAGTCACATACTAAGTGAATAAATGGCAGAACTACGACTAGAATCTGGAGGGAAGAAAAGAGGAGACCAGTGAGGAAGCGTGCATTGGGTTGAAAGTGCAGGAAAAAAGTAACAAATGAGCTAGGAAGATCAAGGATGAGCCCAGCCATTGGTCTGGGCCAAGGACTTTAACATGGAGGCCAGAAGGAAGGGAAAGGAAATTCCAGCAAATGGAGCTCTTAAGCTTTGTAAAGAAAAAGTCAGCAGAACTTCAGAGCTCATTTTAAAAAGATGGTCATAGGAAGTGGTTCACTGTCTCTACTAGGAAAGCCTCACAGGACAGACACTGGAGCAGGCTTGAATCTGAGATAGACATCAGGCTGCACACCTGCCGGGGCATGAGAGATGGGAATGGTGAGTGTTTCAGGTTGTAAGAAACAGGAATAAGAAATTAAGATGGTTGGACAATTGTGAGGAACCCTAGGCAGAAAATGAAGAACTTTAAAAATGCAATACACACTAATGAGAACCTCATATGAGGAAGAGTTAATGATAGAAAATCAGCAAAGAATCCCAATGTGGATGTGGAGGGAGGAATGGGGAAAAAATGTTATGAAACTTTATCCCCTTTAATTATTCTAAATGTAGCTGTTAAGCCACATAAGTAGCTTATGTACATATTGTATGTATGTATTGTATAATGTATATATTATAATTATATACATAAGTATAGTTATTTGTATTAATGTTTAATGTTAAATTTCCACTTGGATTGGTTCTGTGATTTCACTGGAGTTCAATGAGAGCTCTTAATGAAAAAATCCCTCTATCAATCTAAGTCAACACCAAAATCCATTAGATGGTGAGCTTAATACACAGTCCCTGACACTTATTAGATGCTTAATAAATGTTTACTTAACTAACTGACTGCAGCTTAAAGTCTGAGAGTTGCCTAATAAAACATTTAAATTTCAAAAAATAAATTGGGAAGATCTAATCACAAGAAGGAAAGGAGAGAGAGAAAGTGAGTGGCCAAGCAGGGAGGGTAGCAAACAAAGAGAAAGGGACTTTTCAGAAGAGGGGTTGTCCAACAGCTTCTTGCCTTCCTCTGTAGCCCCTGCCCTGCTTCTCCCCCCACCCCCGTCCATAATCAGCACCTGTGCCCCACTGCCACTAGAGGTCACCCCATTTCCTTTGATTGGTGGGCTTAGGTTAAAGAAATGGCTGAGTAAACCAGGCTCACATGTGTCTTGACCTCCTTCCCTCTGAGAATCTAAAGCAGCGTTCATACTGTTCCTTCCTCCCAATTTGATAGCCTTTGTGGCTTCCTTCATGGGCCCCCACTCTCTTTTTCCTTACCATGCTTTCCATCCCTATGCCCAGATTCCCTCCAGGGCATAAATATTTACAGAAGCAGAGAGTCAGAATTTTAGAATCACAGAATGTCAGAACTGGAAGGGACCCTAAGCAGAATGTTGGCACTAGAAAGACCCATAGATCAGAAAACAGAAAATGTTGGGGCTGGAAGGGGCCTTCAAAATTAGAACAAAGAATGTTAAAATTCTATAAAGCTGGAGAGGCCTTTAAAATACTGAACACAGAAGGTGAGAGCTGGGAGAGATCTAAGAAAAGAAAGCACAGAATGCCAAAACTGATAGGTCTCTAAGAGCCCAGGCCATGAAATCTGAAATCTGAAATCTGAAAGGTGTGTTAGAGCTTCAGGGCTCGTCACTTAATACTTAGGTGACATTGGACAAGTCGTTTAACATCTATTGACTTCAGTTTGAGGGTGGTCTACATGGCCTCCAAGGTCCTTTCTAGCTCTAAATCTATGGTCCTGTAATTCTTCAAAAAGCCCTCAGAACATAGAATGTTGGATCCTAAATGGGCCTTAGAATCCAGAAATTTGAATTCTGGAGGGAGAGAGGAAAAATAAAGGTGGGAGGGAGGGAGAGGGTGTGAGCCACAGCATTGCTGTTAAGTTGAATGAACTTGATTTCTGGGAGAATGGTGGGATCTAGATTGGAGAATGAGGCAGAATTAGTGAAGGTTCAAGGGCTGAGGGGATGAACGTGGCTAGGGACAGCCAACACCAGGAAACTCTAGGCTTGACCCTGTGCTCAAAGGCCCAGGAATATGGGGAAAGAAAGGGGAGTTGCCTGCTCCTATCCCCGACTCTTTTACGTCAAATCCATTCCCTAAATAACTTCCTCCCAAGAGTCTGTCTACTTCCACTCTCCAATTCTCATGTCTTCAGAGCCTGGGGGAGAGGGTCCCTCCCACCCAGAGACCAATAACCACAAAGGAATTGGGGCACTGCTGATCCAGGCCTTCCCAGAACCCAGACTTCCTGTACACCCCTCTTAAACCCTGCCCATTCTGAGAAGGTTTCCTGTTCTCCAGTCCTCCGTCTTCCTCTACTCAGGGACCCAAGTTGTCCACCTTTTCCAGAGTGACCAAGATGATCTCTGTAATCCCTAGTTATGCCTATTGTTCAGACTAGGAGAAAAAGGATATGGAAGTTCTAGGGTCAATCCATCGCAATGCAAGGTCAGGGCTGGCCAGAGGATTCTGATTCTGAACCTAGAAGTTCAGGGGTTTCAGGAGGGCAGGGTCATTGAAATGTCACCTCCTCTTCAAGAGACTCCAGTTCCTGAAGGAGAGGCAATTGAGAAGGAACTGGGCAAACTTGTCGGGTAGCATTTCCAAGTAGGCAATCACCTCCCGGGATATAACCCCCTGCTTCATGGAGCCTGGAAGCTCAATGCTCCCCAAACCATTCTTGTCTCGCTGACCCAACCAGCCCAGAGCCCCTCCCTGAACCCAGGATTCCTATTCCCCCAGCTCCCTGAGACCAGAAGGCATGAGGCAGCTCCAAACCCTGGCCCTCTTCTTTTTCCTCCTTCGGTTTGGTGAGTCTTCAGAAGCTAGAGCCCAGACTATCTGGGTTTGGAGTGGGGGGGCCAGGGTTGGGGGTGACAGGGAGAGTGTGACCTAAAGAAGGCAAGCTGGGGACTGAAGGATAATACACCTGGGTTCTATTTTCTTCCTTATTCTTTCACTGTTTTTGGTCCCCACTTCCTTTTCCTTTTCTCTCCAATCACATATTTCCTCGGTTTCTGTCTCATTCTCCCAATTCATCTCAGCATTTCTATGGGTCTCTGCCCCATCTTTTATCTCCAATTTGATTTGTGTCTCCTCACTCCCTTCTGACTAGCTTTCTGTCTTCCTTTCCTGTTTTCCCTCCTAGAATATGCCCAACTCTGTCTCTTTCTACCATCTCTCCATTCCCTAATACCCTCCCCCCAACTTGGACTCCATGGCAGGGAGTAGCACCAGGGAGGGTATGGGAACCCAAAGATTCTGCAGGAAAGTTTTCTCCATGGCTTTAGATAGTCCTGGATGATTTGGGTTTATTTCTTGAGAATTTAAGGGTATCTCTGGGAATAGAGAACACAATTTCTGGGTCTTGGAAAAAGAAAAGACTAAAGAAAGCCCCCTAACAATGGAGACCTCTGCAGTCACACCCTATGAAAACTGAAGTCCTAAGATAATAACTCACAAGGATATACAACACCTTAATGTTTACAACCATGTGAAGTATGTAGTTTAAGTATTATCACCCCCATTTAAAAGATAAAAAAACTGAGGCTAAAGAAAATTAAATAATTTGCCTACGGTCAAATACCTAGTAAGTGTTAAAGCCAGGATTTCAATCTCAGTCTCACCTATCTCTAAGTTCATTGCTTTTTCTACTATACCATGCTAAATGACTCCCCTACCCCTTATCCAAGTGTTACATGGCTAGGATAAGGATTTAGTTATGGATGTTAAGGTAGACACAGGCCTGAGAGACACATAGCTTTACCTCCATCAAGTGCCATAGGCTTGGAGAGGAGGTAGTGGTAAGCTAGGGGAAGGCAATATCACCCTGACCTGGAGAAAACACCCTTTCCCATCTGTCATCATTCCTGAGGGAGGGTGTGAAGGTGGCAAGAGTAGGACCCAAGGGGCCCACAAAGAAGGGAGAGGCTCTGGTCTGGGCTTCACCAGCCAGTACGCCAATTAGGACTGAGTAGCACTGGGGAGGGAATGGGTGGTAGACAGACCTACTAGGAGTAGACTTGCTAGGAGGGACAAGCTATATATTTAAATGCCTTTCCATCATTTGGAAAGAGAAAGGAAGATAGCAGCCAAGAGTGAACTGGAGATTAGGAGAGGGGAGTAAGTAGGAGGCTGGAGGATGGAGATGAATACGAAAGCTGAGGGGCTGCAGATGAAGATGCAGCTGAGTAAAAGGTTTGGTTTAGGGGCTGAGGAGGATGGGAGAGGATGTAGTTTAGTAGGAGAATAAGACTTATGAGTAGGAGGCTGAAAGAGCTGATTAAGTAGGAGGCTAGGGAATGCAGCCATGTAGGAGGGTAGGAGAAGGGCACCTAGAGGCAATATGGCAACATGAAAAGAAAAGGAGATCTGGAATTAGATGACTTTGGGTTCACATTCTACCTCTGTCACTTATGATAGGCGTGACCTTGGACAAGTCTCTTCACCTCATTGCCTCAGTTTCCTCATCTGCAAAATGAGAGGTTAGATTAAATGGCCTTTATGGTCCCTTGCAGAACTAAATGCCTCCATATCCTGTACAATCTACAATGCAAGGAAGGGGAGGAAGGTTAGGAGCTTAGATGTTGCAGCTGGAAGGCCGGCTTCCAGCTTAAGCTCTGAGGATATTGTGGCCACAAAGAAAAGTGTAGGAGGAGGGTTGGGTGCCAGCCTTCTCCCCTGTTTCCAAATCTCAAGCTAATTAGGGTCAGATAGGGTTACCTTGATCACACCAGCTCAAAGGGTGAGGGAAGAGGTCACTAGGGAACTGAAAGACAGGACCAGAAGTCAGGACTCCTGGGCCGGTGGGAGGGCAACCAAACATCTAAAGAGACACTCCTTCCTTTCCTGATTTTGGCTTCCCTTCCCTTGGCTGCTCTTTGCCCTGAAAACTGTGCTGCATTCCACCTGCTAACACACCCTACTCTGGAAGCAGCTGCATTTCCCTGTCCCCGTGTCACCTCCCTGGGATGGGCCTTGGCCATTTCAGGCTGCAGATCAGGACTGGGGTTCAGTTTCATCATCTAGTGACTGCTGGAAGATGTGGGGGATACATGCTCTCTTGCGTGGCTCTAGGAAAATCTGCTTTGGAAATTGTGCTGTTCTTTTTCTCCTGCTCTGCTACTGGGACCCCAGAATCCTGTGCCCAGTCTCTCTTCCTCCTCTAGTACCCAGGCCTTCCCCTTAGCCCCTGGCTCTTTTTATTTGGACCTACTGTTACAATGCTAATTGCTTTCCTTTGAGATAAGTGACCACACACCTTTTACAATCATAATAATGACAGATAATTAGGTGTGATTGCTCCTGATATTATTGGGTAATTACTATTATTACCAATAAGAGCAAAGAACAGTGAAATTCACCTCTTAAAACCAAAGGCCATTGAGTCTAGAGGAGGGGCTTTAGGCTTAGAGACAAGAATTCTGGGGTGACTTGGTGTCTAAAGTACAGTTCCCTCTTATCACCTCCCCCATCCCCTGCCCAAAAGCTCACACACAAACTGACCTTAGCATGCTCGTGCTCTCTCTCTCTCTCTCTCTCTCTCTCTCTCTCTCTCTCTCTCTCTCTCTCTCTCTCTCTCTCTGTCTCTGTCTCTCTGTCTCTGTCTCTGTCTCTGTCTCTCTGTCTCTCTCTCTGTCTCTGTCTCTCTGTCTCTCGTCTGTCTCTCTCTCTCTCTCTCTCTCTCTCTCTCTCTCTCTCTCTCTCTCTCTCCTCTCTCTCCCTCTGTCCCCTTACCCCACCCCTTCTCACTTCTGTCTCTTTTTCTGAGTATGTGTCAGCGTTTTCCCATTTCCTGTCTCTAGGTTCCAATTCTTCCTCTTCTCTGAGCTTTCTCTATCTTAAGCTATATTGTAAACCTCCAACTATCTCATTCCTTTCTCTGAACTTTGTCTCCCAACATAAGACAGGCAACTACTTCAAGCCCAGAGCCCTGTGACAGGGGGCTGTCACCAGAGCCTTTTGCAAAAGAGCTGAATGGGCAAATTTTATATTTGCTGCCTTTCCACCTTCCTTTATCTCCCCTCTCACTGCTCTCCCAGGACTTCCAAGTCACTCCCCAGCGCTCTCAAAGCACCTCCAATAGCACCTCACTCAGCCTTGCTTCTCTTCCACAGTCCTAGGCTTTAAAATGACCTCTCCTCCTTACTCCTTTCCCCAGTTAAAGTTCCCAGTTTGTTGACATGGCTTTCTTAGCTAGACACCAATCTATCAATCTCACACTAACTAATGGACATTAATCTCTGAATGTAACTCAATTTTAAGAGAGGAGTTTGCTAACCCAAATGAAGTAGTGTAATGATATGGCAAGACATTTTTCAGCATAAGGTACAGGGGCTCCCTGGGACCACTGCCCACTCAGGGCTAACACCATGTCTCACTTCCAGTCACATTTATGCTCTACGTCAGAAAAACAGAGGTCAGCATTTCTGAAAGGTTGTAAATTCTTTCCTACATTTAAATGTTCCATTTTTCACCCTTGTCTATCTTCCTATTTATTTCTTTTTGGCAACTTCTTGGCCCATCCTATCTCCTCATCACTGTCCCCTTTCCCTTTGCCTCTTCTTTTTCTGTTCTCTGTCCCCTCCTGTATTCTTATCTTTCCTCCATTCCCTAGTGCCTCTATTTTTCCATTCTGATAATGGAATGTGTGTCTGGAGGTCTCCCAAAAAAGGTCCAGTGGCATGTAGTACATCCTAACTGTCCCAGCCCCATACATTGAATTAATTATTTATTATACAAATAAGCTCCAATCATGAGCCTGTCCATTTCCTGCTGAGGCTGTTCCTCAGCTCCATCTGGTTGGTTTTATTTGAATGTCCAAGTCTGAAGATCTAGGGTCACTAGCAACAAATCCACCCATTGGGTGCTGGGAATAGGGCAAGGTCTAAGGGAAATGATGAGGGCTGGGAAATTCTTCTGACCTCAGAGCTGGAAGGGTCTTCCAAAGGTCATTTTAAACTTTTTTGTCCCTTAGGGAGTTCAGACCTGGGGAGGAGGGCAGTAAATAACAGCTCATTTATTTACAATGCTTTAGAGATTACTAAACCCTTTTCTCACAACAACTTTTTGAAGTAGGTGGTACAGGAAATTATAACTCCTATTTTACATAAGAGGAAATGGCCCAGAGAGATGAAATCATGTGCCATGTCCATACAGCTGGTAAATGGTAGAGTTGTGATTTGAAAACAGGACTTTGGACTCCAATTCTAAGTTCTTTCTGGGCCACCATGTTGTATCTCCCTTATTCATTCAATCAAATATCCAGTCAACATTTCTGGAGACCTTTTGTATCTAATGCTTTAACTGTGTTATTTCTCATTGTCAGGCCTATAACTCTTTACTAGCAAGTTATCAGAGCCATGAGAGACTGTTGAGGGTGTAAATGATAATCCCGTATGGTTAAGGTTGGCCCTAGTGCCAGGAGGAATATCTTTAAACCATATAGGCTCCAAGTCTGATGGGTGGAAAATAGGAGTGGGGTACACAGCAACCAAAGATGATAGGGCAAGAGAATGGCTGGACAACTGGAGAGAATTTTTTCAGTCTGGGGATGTAGGAGAACTTCAGTGGCAATGGCTGTTGACCCTCCATCCTTGTATCTTTATTTTATAGGCACAGAGGAGGCCGAGTCAACTAGAGGTGAGTGTCTGAGGCCCTACCAATGGAGTTGGGAAGGAAATAGTGTTAGAGTCTCAGAGTATGGACTAAGCATAAAACCTTTACAAACAGGAGAAGGTTTCTAACTCATGGGAACTAGAAAACTGGAAACTTTCAGGGAGCATAATTGCTGTCTTTGCATATTTTGTGCAGGAATAGTATGGTGAATTCGACTTGATATGCTTTACTCCCAGAGTTCAGGAAAAGAGTAAGTGGGTATGAGTTAGAAGAAGGCAGATTTCTAATCAACATGAGGAAGAACTCAATAACAATTGGATATGTACCACATTGGAATGGGTTACTTTGGGAGGTGATTAATTCCCCAACAATGGAGCTGTTTGAATGAAGGCTCCATAATCATTTATCGAGGATGTTGTCAAGGGGATGCCTGCTTCCCATTGATGTTGGACTAGATGACATTGCTACTCAAGGATTCTGTTTCCATACCTTTTATAATATGAGGTAGATATGGCTTCCCAAAGAGAATCAGGCATACCAGGGAAATCCTGACAGGCAAAAATAGCTAGTCAAGAAGAGATCAGAGAGGATAGAAGAGCAGTTACTGAGATCCCAAGAATAGATGAGGAAAAATGAATCACAAAGGTGAGGGAAACTATAGGCCAAAGAAAAGAAGACAGAAAGGAGAAAAACTTACGAAGTCAATTCCAGCTCTAACCTACTATGACTCCAAAAATAATAGTTCATGTTTACAGTGGGAGAGACATGCCCTTCACAGGGCAGCAAGAGCAACCTCTACTTTTTTTATTCTCTTTTTTATTCTCCTCTACTTCCCAGCTTGCGGTCAGCCTCAAATGCTGAACCGAATGGTAGGAGGCCAGAATGCCCAAGAGGGGGAATGGCCCTGGCAGGTCAGTATCCAGAGGAATGGGACCCACTTCTGTGGAGGAAGCCTCATAACGGATCAGTGGGTGATGACAGCAGCTCATTGCTTCTCTAAGTAAGTCCCACATGCCTATAGTCGAAACTGCCCCCATACCTTTGGATTTTCCCTCTCTCTAGGCATCGCTATTCATTTCAGCACCATGGACAGCATTCTGCCTGCTATAATTCCTACCAGTCCCACTTTCCCCTCATTCTCTAGCACCATAGACAGCAACACATTGCCTGGTCTGTCTAGCCAGACCTATCCTCTATTCATCAACACAGATAAATCTCACAGGTTCAGTGGTATTTACTATACTCTTTGACATAGAATAGACAAACAATGATTGGTAGAGACTTGATAAAACAAGGATGCAAATTAGTATCTACTGATTCCAAGTTCAGGGTTCTTTCCACTATACCACACCGTGTATGATGCCATCTCACAGTTCTTTAGCTCTTTATTACCACAAAGCAATTTCCTCACAAAAACAATGTGAGGTAGGAAATGCTTCAATTATTATTATTATTCCCATTTCATAGTAGCAGAAACAAAGGCTCAGATAAATAAAGTGACTTTGACCCAAGTCTCCTGACAGTCAGTTTAGTGCTTTTTTCCACTAGGCCAAATTTCCTCATTTAGTTTAATACAGGCCAGAGAGGCCCTGCACCACTGAGGGGGTACACCCAGGGGCATCCTTTGGGTATGAGTTCTCCAAGAGAGAGAACCCTCAGCATGTTTTGAGAACCCATACCAGTGCATCACTGCTTTTGCAGATGAATTTGCTTTATATTGAAATTCAATTTATCAAATTTTCCTGAGCAGAGTTTACATGGCTAACTAAATACAATGCATTATTATGAAGGTTGGGAGGGAATGAAATGACTAAGAAACAATCCTGTCTTAAGGCTCCTTACGGTCTAGGAGAGGGAATGAAATACATAAAAATAACACTACACAGAAGGCTGTGAGAAAGACCAAGAGAGATATGAACAAATGCTTTGGGGATTCACAGAATGAAATGATCGCATCTGCTTGGGAAAGGCATCATGATTTAATGGTGAGAACATTAAATCAGGAATTAAAGGACTTGGGTTTGCACCTCAGTTCTGCCACCAACTAATTTTGTAACCTTGGGCCAATGACTTAATTTTTCTGTACCTCAGATCCCTCCTCTATAAAAACGAAGGCTAAAAACTAGGTAATTTCAACTAGATGATTTCTAGGATCTTTTCTGTGTTCTCTGTCTCTCTCTCTCTCTCTCTCTCTGTCTCTGTCTCTCTCTGAATCTGTCTCTCTGTGTCTCTCTCTGTGTCTCTGTCTCTGCCTCTGTCTCTCTCTCTGTCTCTGCCTCTCTCTCTCTCTTTCTCTATCTCTCTCTCTATATATATATGTATATATATATATATATGTACATATATGCATGTATGTATGTAGAAGTGAACCTAAGACCTGAAGTTCAACTCTCTCATTTTTACAGATGAGGAAACCAAGGTTGTGACTTGCCAAGGGTCACATTCCTAGTAAGAAAGGTTTCTTGCCAATAATGGCTTTAGAGCTAGGCCTTAAAGGGAGACACACACACACACACACACACACACACATACACACACACGGAAGGTACAATCGCAGTATCTGCCATATCTGTAGGTCTGTTCTCAGGGAGGATGTTGAAGCTAGTCATTTGGTCTCTGTGTTCATGCCTGCTTGCTTGCTTTCTTAGGCTGTCCCAGACCCTCAAGCAGTTCCCTAAACCAGTTCCTGTTGTTCCTTCTCATTCTATTCTCTGACTCTTCCTAAATTCTGTCCCTTTTTGTTTCCCCCTCTTCTGATGCTCTTTGCCACATCATGGAGCCTTCAGGTGAATATCTCTCCAGTACTCTGTGGCCTTGCCTGTCCCCTTCAAAGTTTCTCAGTACCACGGACACCTCCCTGTGGCCAGCCCCACCCTTTACCCTGCTTTTCCTCCCATATTCCATTTTCAAAACCATAGACACCTCTTCCTATCTGATTCTCATAAAAGGTTTTTAATAGGATTTATAGCTGGAAGAGTTACAGTTCACCTAATCCAGCCTCTTCCATTTTATAGACAAGGAAAGAGTTAAGCAAAAATGGGAAATAGTGTTAACTCACATTTCTATAATGATTTAAAGATTACAAAGCACTTTCCCCATTTAAAGGAGAAAATTAGGGTCTGGGAAGGTAAAGTGGTTTGCCTATCATGTGTCAGTAAATATTAGGGTCTAAACTGGAGCCTAGCGCTTGTGTCTCCAAATGCACTGCACCGTCCCTTCCACATGCTGCACTGTCAGGCGATCAGGGTATTCGTGCTGCCTCCTGGATGCCTATTCTGCCTACACATACACGTATGGTACTTAATCCGCCCCAGGAGACCACGATCGTAGAAACTGGAGAGAATCCCAATCTCTATGAACCACATAGAACGACAGAGTTTCAGAGCTTGAAGGAATCTGCTTCCTCATTTGAAAAATAAGGGGGGTTGGATGAGATGACTTCTGAGGATTAGAAAGATACGGGTCACATAGTGAATTAGCGGCAGAGCTGAAACGTTCATTTGGATGCACAGTCCAGAGCTCTTTCCGGTGCACTATCCCTGGATGCTTTGTGTTCCTAAATTCTCTCTCTCCCTCATTCTCCTCAAGAAACCAATGTCACACTAAGCTGAGAGTAAATGATAAACTCTCTTACAGTTACCTTCATTATAAATGAATCCTCAGAGAGGAATTTTCGTAAACCAAAAGACTGACTCTAATGGTGGAATTTTAGGCATAATGATGAGACAAAGGGAAGATGTTTTTGGAATCACATCTCATGCATAACAACCCACCCCACTATCAGTGTGATACAATAGAATTAAGTACGGGACTGAAAAGTAGGCATCCTGGGTTCTAGTCTTGACCTCACTCTGGGACCTTATTTGTGAAAGCCTCTTTCCCTCTCTGGGATTCAGGACCCAACCTTGAACAAGGAGGACGCTGGGTTACCACAACGCTATGAACTGTGAACTTAAGAATGAAAGTAAAGTAAACAGTGATGTAGTCCAAAAGAGTGATGGATTTGCAATCAGAGAACCAACAAGAAAGAATTGATTGCTAAAGCAGAAACGATGGGAACCTTGAGAGGAAATGACCCTTCTGTCTCAGAATTCATGACAGAGATGGTGAGGAAAGCCAGGTATAATCTGACATGTACCAAAAATCAGAGAGCAAATTTCAAAGGACTCAATGAAAGACTAAGTAGGGCTCCACGACCTAAAATTCTAGAGAGGAAGTCCCTCTAGAAGGAATAGGAAGTTCTCACAAATGAAATTATGAGAATTATTTCTCATAATTTCAGAAACAATTCCAGTGAGGAAGAGACAGTTTTTGAAAAAGATTTATAGGGATTAATCCACAAGGAATTAATCAGCTAATTTAAATTTTAAAGAGAAATGTTATACTGAAGGTAGAAGCAAAGGATAAAACAGGGTGAATACAAAACTAGCACCATTCTTAATGGTGTCAGAAAGGCTAAAATTTGGAATGAGTAATTAAAATTAAGATAACAAAATAGGCTGGTTTTAAAAGTTATTTTGAAAACAAACAGGAGGATCAAAGAAGAGGTAGGACCACTGTTTGAATAAGGTGATGATAATGTATAATAGAGGGTAAAATATAGAACTACTCAATTCTTATTTTGTGTTGGGTTTCTCTGACAAATAGAACATTACTTGTACTAGAAAGAATTGAAATCGGCTAATAGGGCCAGAACCTACAGATAACAAAGAAATTAGTAAGAGAGTAGACAGCTACTTTGGGCTTGTCACCAAGTCCATATGGATTATACTCCAGAACTTTAAAGGATTAGCAAATGTGACCACTAAACCTCTCCATGATCTCTGAAAAGTGGTAGAAAATAGGTGAAGTACTATAGGACTGCAGAAGGAAAATATTGTCTTAATTTTTCAAAAACAAGAGTGCATCTTGAAATCTATGCACCATACAACTTGACTTTGATTCTTGACAAAATTTTGGGACTCATTATTAAAGGGATTTTTAGTGAACAACTAGAAGAGAAAGTAATGATCATAAAGAACCGCATGGCTTCACTAAAAATGCCAGATAACCTAATTTTCTTTCCATTTTTTGGTTTGTTTCTGACAATGTTGCTAGACAGGTACATAAATTGTCTAAACTTCAGCAAAGAATTTGGCAAAGATTCTCATGCTATCATTGTGGACAAGGTAGAGAGGTACAAGCTAGATGATAGCTGAATTAGGTGAATGTGAAAATAGTTTAATGTCTAACAGAAGTCATTAATGGTTCAGTGTCAACTTGAAAGGAGGTCTCCATTGGTACATAGCAGGTACTTAATCTATGTCTGCTGATGGATTGTTTCATAGAGTATCCTGTGCTATTTGATATTTTTATCGATAACTTGGGGATGAAGGCATGCATAGCTTGGTTATTCTATTTGTAGATGATGCAAACTGGGAGGGATAGCTAGCAAAAATTCTGGATGCAAAAATGTTCTCGGCAAGCTAGAAGAATAGGAAAAATCTCATCAGATAAAATTTAATACGGTTCAATATAAAGTCTTGAGCTCAAAAACATCAACTTTGCAGCAGCTAGGTGGTGCAGTGGATAGAGCATCGGCCCTGAACTCAGGAGGACCTGAGTTCAAATCCGGCCTCAGACCACACACTTGACACTAGCTGTGTGACCCTGGGCAAGTCACTTAACCCCAATTGCCTAAAAACAAAATAAAATTTTGAAAAATCAACTTCACAAGTACAGCAAAAGGGAGGCATGGTAAACACAAATACAGATACAGGAGTCTTAGTGAATTGCAAGTTTAATGTGAATTAAAAGTAGACTAAGGCTGCCTAAAAAGTTAACACAATGTTAAGCTGTATTAAGAGAGGAAGAGCATCCAGAACAATGAAAGTCATAGTCACACTATCCCCTGCTTTGGTCAGACCACCCTTTGGGATTGGGTTATTTCTAGGCATCTCATTTTAAGATAGACACTGATAATCTAGAAAACACCTAGAGGACAACCTAGACAGTGAGGGGCCTCAAGAATCATTTGAAGTAACTGGGAATACTAATTCTGGAGACAAGAAAATTTGGAGGAGATATGGTAGCCGTCTTCAAGTGTTTGAATTCTCATGGGGAAAAGGGATTAATGTTGTTCTGCTTGATTTCAGAGGATAGAGGGGTAGATTAAGCCTTGATGAAACAATTTTGAAGCATTAGAGTTGCCCAAAAGTACAACAGGATGCCACAGAAGACAATGGGTTGCTACTCAGTTGAAGTCTTCAGTTGCGAGTAGATGTCTTTTGGGAATGTTTGCATAAGTGTTATTCAGTCAGGTATCATTTGCACTCTGTTCCCTTTCAATTCTGAATTCTGTAATTCTATGACCTCTGTTTTAATTCCAGCCCTTCTCTAAGGGTGGCAGTGTGACATAGTAGAAAAAAGGATGAACATATAATCATAGAGCTCAAGTTCAAATCTCAGCCCTAGCCATTTACCTCTTGTGCAGCCTAGACCAAGTTGCCTAACATCTTCTGAGCTTGTTTTCACATCTGCAAAATGATAGGGATGGACTATCAAGGCTTCTTAAACTGTGGGTCACATATGGGTCCCCATATGGGTCATGAAAAATTTGGCAACAGTAAAAAGGTTTCTGAACATGTGACGACCAAAAACCAATTAAAAATCAAACGTGTGATGAATCCGAGGTGTTTCTGGCAGTGCTTGCCCGTGGTTTACCATGCAACTTCACTGCAGCCCTGGTTCCGAATGTGCACTTTGCATGCCATCACACAATGCCAAGGAACGCTGCTGAAACATGAAAAGGGGTAGCGAATGGAAAAAGTTTAAGAAGTCCTGAACTAAAGGACTTCCAAGGACCCTTCCAGTACTACCCTGATGAGGCTATGAAAAAGCACTGAATTTGGAATCTGGCCTTAGGTGCAAATCCTGACTCTGTTATTTACTATCTGTCTCACCTCAAACAATTCACTTAATTTTTCTGGGCTTATTTCTCCATAAAATGAAGGGGGAGCTTTTTAAACGATTTCGGAGATTCCCTCTAGCTCAAACCTGTGACTGTCCAACGTAGTCCTTCTTCCTGCCCTTTTCCTATGCGGCTGTTCACCATCAGGATGAGCCTTCTTGTTACTTACTGTGGATCTCGTTTTGTCTTTTTCTTCCTCTACCAGTACCTCGGAAACTTTCCTGTACAAGGTTCTACTAGGGGCCCGGCAGCTGGTGAATCCTGGGCCTCATGCCATGTACGCTCGAGTAAAGAGAGTGGAAAGCAATCCCCAGTATCAGGGCATGGCCTCCAGTGCTGATGTGGCCCTGGTCCAGCTGGAGGCTCCGGTGACCTTCACCGGCCACATCCTGCCTGTGTGCATTCCCAGCCCTGAGGTCAAGTTTGAGGCAGGGATGAACTGTTGGGTCACAGGCTGGGGCAGTCCCAGTGAGCAAGGTAAACTGAGGGAAAAGGCAGAATGGGATTTTTCAAGGAAATTTAGGGTCCTAGGGAGAAGATCAGAGCCAGAAAGAGAATGGGGTACCTGCAGTCAAATATTTTGAAGCAGAGAGGGGGAAAAGCATAAAAAGTATCCAGAAATTAAAAGATGCTTTCCAAGTTCTGACTTCTGTACCTACCTTGGCATCCCACTGGGAAAGAGGGATCTAATTGTCAGTGGCCAACAAGCTAAAGGGTAGTGAGATTGCAGCACTCTCATTGATAGCTTGAAGACAGGATTGCAGGGTGCATGAACAACAAAGATACACAATATTTGAGACACTCTCCCTTCTCTCCTACCCCACATTTTGAATGAGATGAGAATTTGGAAAAGGAGGTCACTAGGATGATGAAAGAGTTGGGGAAAACAGAAGAGAGAAAGGTAGCTAATAATCATTAGCGGTGAAGTCATGTTCTTGTTCTGGGGACCAGGTGTGGGATGTTATGGGGAAAACTCAAAGTACTGGGGTCTCCCTCCCTCTAGATAACCTGCCCAGCCCCCAAATTCTACAGAAGTTGGCAGTGCCCATCATTGACCGACAGAAGTGCAACATCCTCTATAACAAAGACTCAGAGCATGGAGTGCTACCCAAAACCATCCAAGATGACATGCTGTGTGCTGGTTATGCAGAGGGGAAGAAAGATGCCTGCAAGGTATGTCCCTATTCCGGGGGCTTGCCCATGGGCCAGACATGGATGACAGAGATCCTGGGAGGGTGGAAGTTTAGGCCCTCGGTTCCTAATACAGAACAAGCCCTGTGTGCAGATTTTTGAGTTAATTAACAGCGAAGGAAAGAGGCTCGAGTCGGGTGTCAGGGAATCTTGGTGTGAGGCGTGGTTAGGCCAATGAATTACTGTGTAACCTTGTCCAAGTGACTTCCCTTTTATTTCTACCTGTTTATCTCTAAAAGGGGCAGGCCGAAATAAAGAAAGACACTAAGGTTGTAAACCTGGGTGACTAGAAACATGGTAGTGTCCTTTAAAGAAACAGGGCAGTTCTGAAGAAGGGTAGATTTAAGGGAAAAGAATGAGTTCTGATTTTGGATGCACTGAACTCAGAAGGTCCAATATGCAATTGATGATTTAGCTGTGTTGGTTATACAACTACTAGGCATCTGAGATAGAAGTCCAAATTGGGTTTTCTTGACCTCAAATCTCTGGATAAATCTAGTCCTGGGCTTCAGGGAGTGCCAGTCTGGTGGGAAACACAGGACACATACACACACATTATACACAGGTGACACACACATATACCAGTGCAGATTGCACAGAGACAGGGAATGTTTTCAATTGGTATGGATGACAAAAGCCTGGTGGGCTTAGGAAGGCTTCCTGACGTACATGCTTTGAAGCCTTATGGAAGGGCTTTAAGCCTTTTTGGAAAGTTGGTAGGAAGGATAGAGGGAAATGGAGGAGGGGTGGAGGTAGGATGGAAAAGAGAAAATGGGGGAGGGAAGAAAGGAAAAGAGAAGGCAGTGAAAGAAGGAAGGAAAAGAGTGGAGAGGACAGGAGAGAGAAAAAAAGATACAGATGAGCTCAGAGGCAGAAAAGACTGGGTCGTGATATCAGTTTGCAATCGGAAGCAGATGGCTCAGTGGAATGAGGGTACTGGGCCTGAAGTTAGGAAGACCTGAGTCCAAATGTGGCCTCTAACACTTACTAGCTGTGTGACTCTGGGCAACTCACTTAACCCTGTGTGCCTCAGTTTCCTGAACTGAGTGGGGATCTACCTTGAAGGGCTGTTGTGTAGAATAAATGCGATATTTGTCAAAAGTGATCAGCACAGTGCCCAGCACATAGTAGGTGCTATATAAATGCTTCTTCCCTTCCCATGAGTTTTGCTTCCTGCTACAGGGTGACTCCGGGGGACCCCTGGTATGCCGCATTGGTGATTCTTGGCTCCAGGCTGGAGTGATCAGCTGGGGAGAAGGCTGCGCCCGCCGCAACCGCCCAGGAGTTTACATCCGAGTGGCTTCCCACCATGCCTGGATCCACAGGATCATCCCAGAACTGCAGTTCAAGTCTGGCTCTGACAGGAAGAGGGGGCCCCGGGGCCAAGAGACCTCTGAACTAAGTTTTGCTCCCGGCTTGGCTGCCCACACCCTACTCCTCGGCCTCACTATTCTGCTCACCTTTTGAGCCGAACCAGACCCACCCGGGCCAAGGCAGAGGCCTGAGGATAGAGGCTCTGGCCACTCCATTGCCTGTCCATGCTTTAGGCCCTTCAGTCCATGGGAATGTGAACTGAAAGGGAATCTGTCTGGAAACTTCAGAGCCCAGACACTGAGGCTAGTGAAAAGGAGCCCATTCCTATTCTAATGGGAGTATGCTTCCTAAGGGCAGGCTGGCACTGCAGGGAGTACCCAGGGTACCATCTTCCCTTCACAAGCCAACACTGTATATTTGTAAACATCCCTTCTGTTCCTCATAAGCCTATTTTTATTATATTCACCCATCAATAAAGCCTACACTCCCCATTCCTGGATGCCTCAGCTTGCAGCAGACAGGACACCCTGGATCTGGGGAGGGGATCGACAGGACAAGAATGCACTTGGTGCTATTGGAAGAGGTCCTACATGATGCAGGATGACCTGGGTGAAAACAGAAGCAACTGCAGTAGGAAAGGGTGAGAGAGGTATTGCAGAAGCAGTACCATGCTTAGGGAGTCTGAAGACTTGGGAGAGGCCAGTCTCTGCTACTAACTAGGTGTGTGACTGTGGGCAAAACATTTCATCTCAATTTCATCATCTGTAACATGGGAATAATACACTCGCAGGTCAGTTGTGAGGAAAAGCACCACAGAAGTGTGAACTATTATTTTTATTATTACTATCAGTTGGAAGAGGACCCCCAGGGTCTGAACAGAAGAGGAAGGAATTGGAGAAGTGTCAGGAGCCCTTGGTCCTGTATAGGACTTAGAAGGAGCTAGAAAACAACATTCTTGGTTTCTGAGGGGATTGTAGATGTCTAACAGCCTCCAAAAGTCACAGGACCCCAATCTAAGGGTGATTCAGTGGCAAGCCAAGTTGTCAACACCAGGTCACCTGGGAATTCCCTTCCAGGGAGGGAGGAACCAGGAAGAGTCCTAGGTGGTGGCAGAAATAGAAGAGGGCTGGGGCCCTCCAGCAAACAAAAGGCTCTGGGGTGGGACCTAGGAAGATTTGAACTACAGTCCTCAGTTCTCCCAAGAGCAAAGTAGAATTGGAATCTCTAAGGGCCTTCCAACACCCACAAAATCTGGCTATGAACTTCTGGTCACAGGGCATTCAGGGAACGGGAAGTGGCACCAACGGCGGAATCTGTGGGTGTGGAGAATGCTGAAGTCAAACTTGGCCAACATCACGAGCCCACTCTAATTAATGACCCTTTGGCCCAATGCCATGCTTTCCTGGGGTTTCCCCAGAAGACAAAGCACAATGGCTAGAGCCTTTTGGCACTTTTGCAGGAAGGAAAAGAAAAAGCAAGCTCTGTTTCCTTACCGTCTCATCTTGCAAAGCCTAGAATCCTTCCCTCCCCTTGCCTCCCAAATTCTGCCTGGTTAACTTCACAACGACTTCTAATCCATGAAGGGCTGACCATGATAAGAAGTGAGATTGGTGCCGCTTGGCCCTATAGTGCAAGACTAGGAGGTGTGTGCAGTTAATAATTAGAGTCTTCCCACAACAGAGCAGGCTGCTTCAGGAAGCAGTTACCTCAAGCATCCAGCTTTACAGCCTCCCAGGTTGGTATTTTTTCCATCACCTACACTATCTGGAAAGGACCTCTGAAGTTATTTCATTCAACCACCAAACTGAGCTGATGATGAACAGGCCCTTAGAGATCTGGCGATTTGCTTCTCTCTTAGCTCCCAAGCCCTGTCAACTCTACCTCCATATATCCCCCATGACTTCTGACACGATGGCTTAGGGCTTCACCTCTTTCTTGCCTGGATGACTGTGACAGCCTCCTTTCCCAGTTGGATATTCTCTCCAAATTTCAATACTTCTCCCAGATACATCCTTTGTATTACTCACATCCTACACTGTATGCCAGTTCTAGGTGTACATTTAATCTCCTGGACTATGAAGCTCCTTAAAGGCCAGGGACCAGCTTTTTTCATCTCTGTATCCTCAGTGCCAGCACAATGTTCTACACATACCAGATACTTAATACAACTGTCGAATAGACAAAACCCTCCCACACCTTGGCTTGTACCTCTTGGGCACAGAGGCTGATGAAATGACAGACATGGCCCAGACCGTTCAGACTCAAACTTGTACAACAGTTGTTGATCTTCACTGGTGGAAGGCATTTCCCCTCCGTGGAGTAAATTACACTTAATTAAATCATAGGTCTGGACAATTCGCTAAGTTTTCCATGAAGTTTATTGCTCACTGTTTCCCACATCCATCTTCCAAACTAGGCTAAAAGCAATGTGAGGGCTCAGTCTTACTTCTTCAATATTCCCCACGGTGCCCCGAACAGTGCTAAACAAGTGGCAGGGCTTCACGAAGGGTTCAAAGTAAAAACGGGTAGAAACACAAAAGACGGAGAGAAAATATTTTCAGATCAAACCAAAGTTTTAAAAGGGAAAACAGGTTTATTTCATGCAATTTACAATTCACAATAAGCTTAGTGTTATGAAAAGGAGGTTAAAAAACACCCACACATTTTGTCATATTTGTTCTGGAAACAATGGGCAGCCCCTTCCCTCGTTGGACAAAGGAGGAAGCCCCAGGTAAGGTTCCCTCCCAGACTCCTCTGGGTGGGCTGCTTAGATACAACTTCCCATGTGCACTTTGCTGCTGCTAAGTTTAACCTTGATGCAACTTTAAAGCCCAGGAGCCAGAGCCCACTCTTGGCTCCAAGCTCTGCTGTGATAAGAACACTTTAAAAAGAGTGAAAAGAAGACTTATTGCTAATTTGCTAGCTGGGAATAAAGCATCACAGACATAACCTCAGGAAAGTGGTGGGCATTGAAAAACACAGCCAAATGGATAATTTTCTCCCTAGCAAACCAATGAGAAAATGGGAGCGCTTGACAAGGACTGGGAGGCTCATGGGAAGGGCCTTCAAGTCCAGGCCCCCGGCACTCAAGTCCAGCCCAAATGAAGACAAGCCTTAACTGAGCAGTCTTGTCTAAGAGCAGCAGCAGCTCAGTAGCCTTGGGAAAAGGAAAGATAAGAGTAGTCAGAAACATACATCCCTTTCCAGCGTCCCCAGGGTCTGAACCAAGGAAACGGTCCACATCCTTGGGGAACCACTGCTCTACTGGCCAGGGCTGAACTTGTGCATAAGCTTCTTGGTCAGATCTCCAAAATGGAGAAAGAGTACCAAGAAAAAAAAAATGCCCGGCCCCTATCACAATTATTCAGGCCTTCGAGGGGAGGTGCCTTGAATTGGTTATCATTTCAGACCAATCACCTCACAGTGGCAACTCTAGTAGCAACAGTGCCAAAGTACTAAGTCCAGAGAAGCAACTCAGAGCTCAAAGCCAAGCTGGAGGTTCCAGGATTGGTTCAGTCAATCAGAAGGGATGGGAGGTTTGGGGGAGTGTTTAGGGGAAAGGCATCATCCCAATCTTCGCGCCTATCACCTGAAATTCAAACAGGTTGCAGTGACAGACAGATATTCAGAAATGGAAGGTAAGAAGAGGAAAAAAGAGGGACAGAGAGGGAAGAAGGCAAAGGAACCCCCCCCCCAATGACCCAAAGATAGTGGCATCAATAAATCAGACCCTATGGAGACCTAGTTTTCCCCAAGGGCATGTGCATCTGATCCAAAGTTATTGGGTTTTGTCTTTTTTTTTTTTTAAAGGCAGCAGCTACTCTTTCAAAATAAGTTTGAGCACCATTTCTAATTATAGACAGACAGACACACAATCCCCAAAGACAGACCTGGAAGGTGTTAGCCCTTAACATTATCCACTGCAGTAAAAGTGCGAGTTCCTTAGGACAGATAACAACAAAAATGAAACAACTAAAAAACCCCACGATGGTGCAGAATTAGCCCTTTTTAGTCCCAGTCAGGCAGAAAGGCCAAAGTTGCTGCCAGGGCAGTCAGACCCAATAGGCCATTGCCACTGAGGAAGGGAGTCACTGGAGACTGCTATCAGCCAGTAGGTAAACCCTATGTGGGGACACAGTGATGACAACTGCTTTTCTGAGTGCTCTTTGGACCCACAAGGGAGCCCCTATTTCAAAGCATGTTCTAAGGATTAACACTTTTGCTTTTTCTAGGGGTTTTTGGAAAACGGGGAACAGCCTGAAATAATGGCCAAACTATCATTCCTGAGTCAAGTCCCAGAATTCATAGAGACTGACACCTCCCTCTCTGGAAATGCTCAGCTTCTGTTCCACTTCCTCCCACCTGCTTGGACTTCAGCTTCTGCGTAATAAGGGCCAGAAAATAAAGAACTCACTATAGAGTAATAGGGTGGTACCAGGAGCACATCTTAAACTCCCATTTTTTTCCAGCAGCAGCAGCAGCAGGCTCTATAGTTCAAGTTCTGAAAGAAGTTTGACCCTTGGACTACTGGACCAGACAACTAATAAGAATCAATTAAGATTTTCATGGGCATTAGAAAATTAAAAGAGCAACAAGACCAGCAACTCTATGAGAAATACCCTAGACTCTTGAAAGTCACATCTGTACCCCGATACTGGGAGGAAAGCTATAGGATAATTGGTTTTTCATGGAATTTTAGTAAAAATCTTTCCAATGATGGTACAGAATTTCCTGAAGTAGCTTCTCTGCTAGTTTATACAGAAGACATTGAACGAGAATTAATACTCTCAGAGGAGAGTGTGGGTGGAAGGAACCTACGGTAAACTGCTCTTACCCACAGCTAGACAGAGAGGATTAACCAATGCAGACCAGACACCAGCATTTCTATAGCATACTACTCTTCTGACTTTGAGATAGTGGCAGGTGTGAAAATCCTAACAGTCTTTAGAGTGGCAGGACTCTTCTGGAGGCAGCTATCTGTACCTAGTTTTGTATATAAGATTTCAAAAACACAAGGAATAAAACAACTATTACAGGAGGTCCTTGGGAGCTCTAGGGGAGAAATAACCCCAGTCTAAGGTCTGACTCATGGGCCATGAGAATGCTTTGCTACTTAGTAAGGGAAATTAGAAGGTTTTTTTTTTCTTCCCAAAAAATCCTTTCAAATGAGTTTAGAAATTTCCCATGAAATTTGGGAAATTGTCATTTCTAGTCATCGTTTTTCTTTTCAGCCAAAGAGACAGACATAACAATAATAACTTTATGAGGTATCAGTAAAATTTCATTTTTAAATGGTGCTCCTTCCCCTCCACCCCCATCCCCAAACAGTAGAATAGTGGAGGCAAAAAGGCAGGCAATGCCATGGGGAGAAGCAGATGAACAATGGCAAAGTATTCCAGTATAAAGTCACTCCATGAAGGAAACTCTTCAATTCTGGACTACTTAGCAAATTCTACTTCCAAGAAATCTACATGCTTTCTTTCTAGAGCTCTCTCTTTCTCTTTCAGGCCTGCTGGCTATATAACCAGTCCTGAAAAGTCCTACTACAGTTGCTTGGTCAAAAGAAAGGAATTAAAATACCCTTTTTGTGCAGTGATTGGAATGTGGATGACAAGAGGCAGGCACTAAGCAATCCTTACTCCCGGGAACCATGACTCTTGCTCCCTAAGGCAAATAAAACCAAGCCAAGAAATGGAATGCTGAGCTTGCTCTGCCTGGCTCATGAGAGCAAAAACAATGCCTTGATGGGGGCAGAGGACTCCCTAGACCACAGCTGGAGCTCAACGTAATCAATCTCTAGCCCCAGATGCTTACCCAGGGACTTTGGCAGCAGAGACTTTTAGATGCAGTTTAAGACACTAACAGCTGTTATGCTTATCTGTAAATATACATTATTATTTGCTATTTTCAGGGGGAAACTTAGGCATTGAACTTTAAGCTGATAAAATACGGATACCTAAAAAAGTATAAAAGTATAAATATCCCCTTTAGAATAAATTTTAGTTAAGTCTTAATATGTTAAAAAAAAAACACCACAAACCTTTCTTCTCAATATCACTAATCAAATGAATGCTAAAGCAGCTAGCAGCTTCCTGCACAGAGCATGTCCAAGTGGAAAAACATACTACAAATCCTTCCATGCCTCAGCTGGGTGAAAAAAAAAATCATTTAGCCTGTTACTAAATCTGCTTTGTAAGAAATATTTTTGTTTTTGTTTTTTTACAAATAGTTTAAGCCAAACTCTTTTTAATAATAACATACAACAAACTTTATAAAAAAGGGAGGTAAGTCCTCAATGCTCAAGAACTTTGTTGAACATGTCACTGGCAAGAGGAAGGGGTGGAGGCAACATTTCAGGAAATATTTTGAAATGCAACAATTTTAAAAGCCTTAAAATTCTAGCTATCCTCCAAAGTGTAAATGTCAGCAATCCTGAGGGTCAGTTTTCTTATATCTTCCCTTTGAAACAGTTGTCAATCAGGAGCAAAGAGTTTGCTCATTCTAGATACTCACATCTCTACCTTACCAAACAGAGCTTTAGAAAACTAGTTTCGCACTACTACTTGAGTTAAATCTGTTTAAAAGGCATGCTAACAGATTTTTTTTCTGTTAAAAGAACACTAACAGCTCCAATCTCATGTAAGGCTAGCATATCCTGTCCTGGTTTTGTGTGAGATATCAAACATCCCTACGATTCTAGAGAGAACTGCATAGTTTTACAAAGAAAATGAAAGAGGAAGAGAGAGACATATGATGCACTGTAAACATCCTGAATTTTTCAATTCAATCCAGATTTTAAACTCAAGAAATCAGGTGAAAATCTGTGCAAAACACCTCCCCAATCCCAATGGAGATCACTAGGACAACAGATGCCTTGATGGAGGTCGGCAATTTCCACCAACCAGTCTATATAATTGTAGACAAAACTTGTACCTCTCATTAGATCACTTAACCTAATCCAAAAAATTCTCAACACTTTTAGGCATTTCTAGAAAGTAAAAACAGGAACATTTGGTAAATGAGCTATACTTTTTTTTTTTAAAGAGAGGAAGGGCAGAGAATACACAGTTTTCTTAACTGGAAAGTACTTATTAAGAAATTTTGGTTTTGGTTTTTTTTTTCCTAATCCAACATTTAGCTGGGATGGAAGCTTAATTTTTGTTAGAAGAATTAGTTACTAAGATAAGAGGTCTTCAGGAAGTAGTGACAAAAAGAATCTTCTCTTATTAGGAGCTTCACTTTGAAGGGAAAGGTAAGCTCCTAGCTAAATGCATGCAGTAAGACTGGATGGCTGAATCCAACCAGCCTCTCATTTGTATGTTCCTGCTGCCTGGTGTTGAACATATTACATTCTGATATCATTTGATCTCCTAAAGCTTGGATGGGGTGACCAAACAGTGTAAGACAGTAAATCGGGGCTGCCAAGCATTTCCTAACAGTGAAGGCCCCAAACATCTGCATTTAAGGGTTGTAATATGTAGCACCAAGTACACTGTCCTTTAAACTATCCTCAACGATTAATACCAAAGGAAAAAAAAAAAGAAAGGTTAAAAAAAATCACTTCACACCGATCATTATAGGATCTTTCTGCCTCAGTCCTGCACAGACAGACCTGGGGAAGAATTCAGGGTGCGTGCTCGTTCTCTGCACACAGGGCCAGTCCTGCCATGTGCCAGCACCAGGCTGAACACACACAAATTCTGTGCATTCTGCCAAAGAGTGATTTCTTCACACTCTCTCAGCCAGTCAATTCCATCTCACACTACCTCAACGGGCCCCCAAAAAAAGATTCAAATTCAAACCCAGATCTCAATAGAAAATTGTCTAAAGCAGGTTTCTTCTTACAGCCAAGCCTCTTCAACATGGCAATTCATTGTATTTTGGGAGGAAAAAAAGTGAAAATTCTTCAGTTCTCAATACTGTGGTCTTCACATCCTGGAACCCCTCTCTTGCAAAATCTGAAAGATAACAAAAGCAGAGTGAAAATCAGAAAAAAAGGGAAAAAAAAACACTTGACAAAAAGCTTGAGGACTTCTCTTCAGAGGGCAGTCACTCAGCTGCTCAGTCGCTTGAAAGACAACCAAGCTCACTGAGCTTCTTGGAGAGGCAAACAAAATACTTAAAGGAAGCAAAGGAATGGCGGACAGCGTCTCCACATCTTCAAGTATCTATCCATTAGGAACTCCTAAGGAGGAGCTAAGAGAACGACTAAGTAACTGGCAAGAAATGATATTACAGTATTTCTCACAGCTGCAATCACTGTCAGATTATGGAAGCCCACAAACTAGATAGCACAATGTCCCAATCTTCTTTGGGTTATTTCAACACACACACACACACACACACACACACACACACACACACACACAGATTTAGACAAGTAGCACCACCCATAAATCCCAACCTAATCTCTGCTATCAAAAGCATTTCTGGTCTTTAAAACATTACATATTTCAATACCATATATGACCTATGCAATTTCACAGGGTTTCACATAAAGATGGGATTTGTCATCTGATATTGTGAGGTTTTTGTTGTTTTTTCAATCAAGCTTGGACTAATTTCATTTCACCCAAAGTAAGAAGAAACCACAACTAGTGAGTTGAAAGGTGAATATGGGTAAATAAAATTCCCTGCATTTATGAGTATGATTAAATTAAAAGACTGATGCATCCAATTGTCTAATACGGAATATATTACTAACTAATTTCTGTTGTTTTTCTAAGCCACAAAGAATGACAGAATGGGATCTGAAGTCAATGGGAAGACCCAAGACATCAGGACCCATAACTGTACTGGTTAATCTCATAACCTTTCTTTTTTTCCATTTTAAATTCATGTATTATCTGTGCACAAGAGAAAGAGCTGATAAACCCAAAAGATAGCATTATCTAAATCCAAAAAGATACTATTTTCTTTGGTTAAAAATTGAAATATCACCAACTTAGAGTAAAAGCAATATTTCTAATTATAAATCATAACACATGTTGAAATAGCTACTGAAAAGCTGAAAAGCCTTAGGCAAAAGTGCTTTTTGAGATGACGATGCATCTTTAGTCTGCACTAAAGAGTAATAGGGAATTTACAGTCGACTTCTGAAGGTTGAGACAATGTTACAGTGTAGCTTTCTGTACAATAAATACGCACTTCAAGAATTATCCAGGATAATTTTTACTGTATTTTACATGAACTTGCCTAAATTGCACTTTTACTGAAAGATGTTTATTAAAGCTATTGTAAGATTCTATACAATCAGGGAAATGTGTCTTCATACATATTTCACTGCTCTTACTCTGTGATTACATGAATCTTGCTCAGTTATTCCTACTGCAACATATGTTTCTCAAAATGCAGTTTAAATGGACATTTTGTGTTATATAGATGAAATAAACAATGTAAGAGCCACAAATCTTACAGCACTTTGCTAGCAAAAATATACATCTGAGTTACAAAAAGCAATACTGTACACAAATAATTTGTTTCTTCTTAATATTTTTTATTCTACATAAAATACTACCACAGGCCAATGTTTTAAAAAGCAAATAAACTGAATAATTGCAGGATAAAACCTGTTCACACACTGCAAAAGCTGGTATTTGTTTCCAAAAATCACAATAAATATAGGGCAAAGAGTAAAAAACACTGATTCCCACTGTTTGAAAAGAAAACAAAACATAAACTACTATATTCCATCTCAAAATGCATTGCATCAGTTTAGGTTTTATGACAGGACAAGATTCCAAGTCAAAATTAAATAAAGCAGATATTTTAAAGAATTAAGTCATTATAAAAAATAAATTGCATCTTTTCAAATTACAGAAATGGTGCTGATGACTGGGAGCCCAATAATCTTTCAATGGCTGCACTGACATCTACTCCTGCTGCTATTAATAAAGCTTTTAAGTTTGCTTCACAGCTCAAGAAACCCACTGAGCTGAGCTATTCCAGTTGCTGCTGAATCTGTCTTACAGATTCTGTAATTTCTGAGAATTTGCTCCAGCAAGGGCCCATAACATTTGTTGAGTCAACTGCTGGTGTCCAAGTTCTGTAGTTCCTGATGAAGGACCTGTGTTTTTACACCAGGTGCAGAGTTATACAGAGCAATTCCTGTCAGCCTCCAATGTTTCCCAATCTTCCCAGGCCAGGAGTAAATATTGGTATGAGGCCTAGGGCTTCTGCGGCTAAAGCCTATAGACCCTGATGAACCTGGAACAAGGCCCGAATTACTTGGGGTTGGACACTGATAACAAGGTACCAGGGTTCTGCATTTCTTGGAGGAAAGCTGGAAGCAGCTATCTCATTTGTTCTTGTAGATGAGGATTTGCAGCAAAAAGAGAGTGTTAAGCATCATCTGTGTAGCAAGATCAGCATCCTGGCTTAGTGACTGCAGAAGGCAAATGGAAGGTTCGCCCAAGGCATGGATTTTCAGATATCTGCTATAGTAGATCCTACACTCCTGGTGTGCTAAACACACCAGTCCCTACTCTAAATTCCAAATCTGACACAGTAGTTAATACTCTGTCCAGCAGGACTGGACAAAGGTGATCGCAGAAACATCAAATTCCTCTTTCCCATTCTAGGTCTTCGTGGCAACTCGGATGATCTTGGAGTCTCTGGCAGGGGGTCACCACCACTCTCAGTCATGGTGAGCAGCAGAGGGGACTCAAGGCCACCCCAGTTTTTCACTCACAACCTCATCCCAAACTAGAATCCCTATCAAACTGGAAGTAGGCACAGTGAACAATGGAAGGTCTAGGCTGCGTGACTTTTGCAAATTATTTCGCCTCTGTTTCCTAATCTGTAGAGGGATAATAATAACAGCACCCACCTCCCCAGGGTTGTTGTGAGGATCAAATGATTGTGAGGTGCTTTAACACAGTGCCTGGCATACAGGACACACTATATAAATGTTAACTATTCTTATTATTTCTTTAATTGAATATAATTACTCCATACTGGGTTTTAGATGTGACTGGTATAAAATGCTAAAAGTGGTAAGATGAACGATTTTCTATGTAAGATAATATGGAAGTGCATTTGACTGAATTGATATCATCTGACTAGTAATAAGTTTTTGTTTCATGTTTCAAATTCATAATAGTGTATATGTTGCTATTACTATGTTTCTAAATTTTCTTACATTGTGAAATTTGGTAAGTCACTGTATCAGAAATGTTGTTAGAAAAGCAACTTCTCTTTTAATCTGAAATGTTGTTAAAATGTGAATTGAGCTGTTAAAATAACGTGGTAAAAATGTTTGAAAACTGTTAAATATTTAAAGGGGTATATTTGCTTTAAAGTGGATAATAATAACTTACTGGAGAAAAGTACCACAGACCCCTTAAATTATCCTCATCTGTGAAGTTCCTTAGAGAAATTCTACCTGGCCTGCTTCAAAAGACCTTATCAGCCCTGCTGACCACCTGCTGAAATTTGAGACACTAGGACCACTCCCAATCAGACTGGGAAAACTTAAGGATTTGCTTTTAGTGAAGAGTGAGTTTCCTCTAAGATCATTTGGCTACCATTAATGAAAGTTATGAAACTGTAATTGTTCATAATTAGTATGCAGTGAAGTTACATCTTTGAGCCAATTTAGTAACAACAGACCTTAGATTTGGAGATTTCATTTTGCCTCAGGGGTTAATTGGCAATATAGATAAATTTTCTGGGGATTGTGAGCCAATTATTCACTGGATATGTGAAACTCCCAAATGTGATTACTGTTAATTTATAAATGAAGGACATATGAAATGTCCTTATCTTTGCACTCGTTATTAACTATTACTAGAATATAAAAGCAAAAATAATATCCTGACCCTAAGCTGTGATTAGTGAAATCTTGCTGAGGTAAAATCTTACGGGACCATAATCTGATATTGTTCTAAGTTTTTATTTCAGGTAGGACTGTCTGAACTGCCATGAGGCCAACAGTCTACCATTCAAGGGAGATGCCATTTGCTGCCCAAAGGGAGTGCTGTCTGAAGACTGCTACACGTAAATGTCTGTCTCTGGGAAAAGTTGAGGGGACAGCCTTAGCACAGGCAAAGGTAGGAGCCTCCTGACTCAGTTTCCCCACTGATATTTCCTTTCTGAATAAGAAATTTTCCCACCTGGTTAATTCTGAGCCTGGCTTTTAAATAAACATGGAACTCTGCTGCATGACTGCCTGTTAACTATGACTCTTGCCTGGAATCAAACATAAGTGAGGGAGTTTTCCCCATTATGGCTTGTATCAGATCAATCTGCATCCTTGATGATACTGTCGTAACCATGTCCCTCCCTTCCTTTCATAGCAAATTTCTATAACCAGGGCAGGTGAACAGTGGAAGTTTGTCACTGAATAGATTAATACTAAAATATCTGAGTTACCATAATAGGACACAAGTATGAAAGATCTTACTGCTGTTAATCGCCATTTATTTATTTACCTATGTAACTAGGTAAATGAGTTCTTGGGTTTGCCATTCCTTTGCTCATAGTTATATATTTATGTGTAAGAGTAGGTCCTTAAAGTACCTTATTCCTTCAAGATGATATGAGGATAATACGTCTACCCTAAAAAAAGGAGATAGGACAAAGATAAAGTTTGGTTTTTTTAAATTTAATGGAGTAGTAAACTTTGGGAAAGCAATGAGATTATACTGTTTTCTCTAAGATCCAGGATATACACATACTCTCTGACTTCCAAATGTTTCTAATGGGATTGATAGGCCTTAGGTATGTTTTGGTAATAAATCTCAAAATTAGATTATGATTTTTACATATAAAATTACATTGATAATTGTAAAGAATTTTAAATCATCTTTTCCCCCTACTTTAAAGTATCTGTGTGATAATATTATGGGGAAGGATGGCTCATTTACAAGACAGGTCCTCTTTCTTCAGCCTGTGGATTACATTGTTTCAGGTCAATTTGTCATCGTTCAGTCATTTCAGTTGTGTCCAACTCTCTGTG